GAAATCTTCATATCTCCTTCTCAAATCGCTGTCAACTCGAGATCTTCTCTCAAATCAAATCCGATCTCTTCTTCTTCGATCTTTTTGTATCCGATCTTTCTGTCTCCTATTTCGCCATCTCTGATTTCTCTGTCTCTGAGTTCGCCATCTCCGATTTTCCAATGTGATCTCCTCTAAGATCTCTTTGTTTGAAGACGTACACGATTTTTTTTTTTTAAACTTCCGAATTCATAATACATAGATAGCAATATGATAAAAAGGTGAAAAACACTTCAAGAGGCATAAGAGTACTAATCTATAAGAGAAGAAATCTTGGAAAAATGTAAACCAAGTCATGAGAAGTGTTATCGTAGAAGGCAGAATTCGTTGTCGCCTTGTAAGCGGGTCAAGACGGCAACGAATCGTGTTCTGGATTTTAGAAAGTTGGATTTGGAAATCAATACTCAAGTTAAGGGTGGTTGCTCAGCCTTTCTTATTTGGCAAAGTAAGTACTGGTAGTACAACTTTGTTTTGGTATGATGATTGGACAAAGTTGTAACCTTTACTAGAGTTTTCAAGAGTTAATGGGCCTAGATTATCGGATATTCCAAAAAATGCAAAAGTGGCTGATGCCATTAGAGGAGTAAATTGGAACCTTTCCAAGGGAAGACATCCAATTGTTACAAGTTGAAAGCTTCTCCCCGGTCAGTGAACTATCTCATCTCTGCAATGCCATACCAGGTAGTTCTCTTCGTCTCAAACATGGAAATGCTTCATCCATTGTCAGATTTTGTCCTTTGGTGGAGGTCAGTTTTGTCTCCAAGTTCCATATCGAAGCACTCATTGATTTTATGCCTGATCATGCGGGACATATTGCTCACTAGGGATTGTTAAATTGGGGGGGGGGGTTACAAGTTCCATCTAGTTGCCTTCTTTGTGATAAGGCATATAATACAAGATTTCACCTCTATTTTAGCAGTCCTTTCTCTTATAAGATATTCAAAGCATTATTTTTTTTCCTCGGCTCAAGCCCCTCTAACGATCTCCTTGACACAATTAGTTGT